ACAATGTAACGATAGTTTATGTTGTTATCTTATGCCAAGAGATAAAGAAGCTGTAACTCTTGGCAATAATCTGTAATAAAGCCTTTTCAGGTCTAGGGCCCTAACTCAAGGCATATTTACCTAGCATGAGCAACACCCTGGGCTAGGTCCTTCGATCCACAGAAAGTCCTTGTTGGAATCCCAGCACTCAGTAAGCAAGAGGATTATGTCTGAGGCCATCTGGGCTACATAGTGAGACCCTGCCTTGGTAAACAAAACAAAGATGTTTTCAAACCGAGTGCTGCATTTATTTGCCTGTAGTTTCTGTAGTTCTGACTCCTCAGAAGACTGAGAAAGGAGGAGGTTAGTTAAGGGGGCGACACTGTGAGACACTGACTCAAACAAATAAAAGGTTTTCCAAGGATGTGTTCACAACTTGACTATTGAGAAGTCTATGAAGATTTTCCTATAGTATTTTTGTTTGTTTGTTTGAAGACAGGTCTTACTATGTAACTCTGGCTGTCCTGGAACTGGATGTGTAGAGCAGGCTGGCCTTAAACTCATAGAGATCCGCTTGCTTCAGTCTCCTGAGTGCTGGGACTAAAGGTGTGTGCTGCCATGCCTACTGTTTTGTGTGTGTGTGTGTGTGTGTGTGTGTGTGTGTGTGTGTGTGTGTGTGTGTGTGTGTGTGTATGTGTTTGAAGACAGTCTCCCACTGCATCTAGGCTGCCTTGAATTTGAGGCAATCCTTCCTTAACCTCTTGAGTGTCTCGGAATTAAACCGTACACAGGACAAGGGTATAGTTGGTTATTTATTAAAAGAGGAGATCACTTAAATGAGAAATCCATAACCAGATAGCGCTCCACGAATCCAGTCTCACCAACACTCAGAGACCTGACTGGAACCCCCCAAAAAGAGACAGCCTCCTCCTTCTAGGTCAGCCAGTTCTTCATAATGAGACTCTGTCACAAAACAAAACAAAAACACCCAAACAAAAAAGAACTGGTGGCTGGAAAGATCATCAGTTAAGAACACTAGCTGCTCTTCCAGAGGATCCGGGTTCAATTCCCAGCACCCACATGGCAGCTCACAACTGTCTGTAACTCCAATTCCAAAGGATCTGGTACCTTTACACAGATGTACATGCAGACAAAAATATCAATGAAAATAAAAATAAATTTAAAAAAGCAAAGAGAGAGAGAAAGAGAGAGAGAGAGAGAGAGAGAGAGAGAGAGAGAGAGAGAGAATTGGCCTCTGTTACAGACATTGGTCATAACATACTCTTTGAAGTTCCTTTAAAATGAGAAAAGCTAAACAAATTATTTTCAAAATTAATGAAATTCTAATGAATATGGCAAATACTTTTTTTTTTTTAAATGAGGTTTCACTCTGTAGCCCAGATTGACCTGGAATTCATTATTCTCTGTGCCACATATCCATTTCAAGAAAACTTGACATGTGGTGTGCTTTTTTTCTGTTTTGTTTTGTGAGAGAGCATTTCATGTAGCATAGTCTGGCCTTGAACTCTCTGTGTATCCAAAGTTAATCTTGAACTCAAATTCTTCTGCTTCCATTGCCAAAGTACTTGGATAAGAGGTATGAACCATTGTGCCCAGTTTCCTTCCTCTCCCTCCCTCCCTCCCTCCCCCCTTCTTTCTTTCTTTCTTTCTTTCTTTTCTTTCTTTCTTTCTTTCTACATAGCGTCCCTATAGTCCAGGTTGGCCTTGAACTCATGGTAATCCTCCTGCTTCGGTGTCCTGAGTGCTGGTACTACAGGTGTGAACCACTGTGTCTGGCTTTAAAGCTGTATGTTTTATGGTTGTCATATCGTATAGCCAACATAGATGTTTTCTCATGCCTGAAAGCATTGGGTGGCCCTGGAAATTCCACGGTGCTTGTGTTTAAAATGTTCTGTTATGCAATTTCATAACATTGTGGGCTCATCAAATGATAGCCTGTTGAGTGCTTTGAACTGGGAGGGCCTCAGAAACAAGGCTTCTCTTGCTTCTTAACTTCTGTTCTTCTCTTTTCCTTTCCTTCCCCATCAGCTGTGACCTAGAAGTCACTATCCCTGCACCCTAAAGCAGACCTGCCTTCCTGAAAGTGGGCCTGCCCCGCACTGCCCAGGAAGGAAGATCCAAACAAGTAGGTCCTGCTAAGTCCCCACCGGTTTGTCACCATTAGATTGTAGTTCGTAAAATGTTCCTCACTTCCTTTATCAGCTTTAGGGTGCACCCCAGTTTTCCTGTGTATTTGAGCCTTAATTTCTGGATACTTCTGGGTCACATAAGCTTTCTGAATAGGTTGCTTTTGCTTTTCACTTGCTCCCCTGTCTGTTGTGAGAGAGTCAGCCATGAACCTGTGATGAGCAAGGACGTTCTTAGCTCTTTTTTTTTTTTTTTTGGTTTTTTCGAGACAGGGTTTCTCTGTGGCTTTGGAGGCTGTCCTGGAACTAGCTCTTGTAGACCAGGTTGGTCTCGAACTCACAGAGATCCGCCTGCCTCTGCCTCCCGAGTGCTGGGATTAAAGGCGTGAGCCACCAACGCCCCTCGTTCTTAGCTCTTCACCCTGCAACACAACTACACTTATCAGAGGCTTCATCCTATCAGGCACTGCTTGCTTCCAGAGCCTTCCCCAAGCCTGAGCATGCAAGACTCTGTTATGAGCTGTACTTAGATGCTTGACCTTGTTTTTTTTTTATCACCTGACATGCTTAACTATTTGTATTATTGATTTCAAGACAGGGTTTTCTCTGTGGAGCCCTGGCTGTCCTGGAACTCACTTTGTAGACCAAGTAAGCCTTGAACTCAGGAATATGCCTGCCTCTGCCTGCTGAGTGCTGACATTAAAGGCATGTGGGCAATGGCAGCCTTGTATTTTTATTTTTTTTTAAAGACAGGATCTCACTATGTATCCCTGGCTGGACTGGAACTTGCTATGTAGCCCAGGCTAGCCTTGTATGTGCAGCACAATCATCTGTCTCCATAGTTCTGAGACAATGGGTGTGCACCAGGATATCCAGCATTGTATAATTATTAGTTTACTATTTTTTCTCTCTCCATAGTCAACCTATTATTGATTCTGTAAGGGCAAAAGTGTCTGGCAAAGCACCTGGCCATGAGTCAGTTAGTGTGTGTTAAATAGGTCAGTCTGTGAGAGTATGGACATGCACCCTGTCACAGGGGAGAACCAGAAGCTCGGAGAATAAAGAACAATAAAGCTGCAGACAAGGCCTTCTCCATCTTAAGCCTGAGCCTGGTGGTGAAAGTGCCCAGGGGGCTTAGGCAAGAGGTTACTAAGTTGTAGGCGAGCCTGGTCTATGTAGTAAGTTCAAAGCCAGCCTTGGCAACTTAGTGAGAACCTGTCTCAAAATAAAAACTAAAAAGAAGATTGGTACATGGGAGGTAGAGGCAAGAGGATCAGGAATTCAGTTACAATGTTCAAGGTCAGCCTGGGCTATAGTCGACTCTGTCTAAAAAACAATAAAAGGGTATATAGGGGTGGGGCTGTTAGGGGCCTGGGGCTACAGCTCAGTGGTATAGTTCTTGACTAGCATGGGGACTTCATTGTTTTGTTTTGGAACAGGGTTTCTCCGTGTCCTAGAACTCACTCTGTAGATCAGGCTGGCTTCTAACTCAGAGATCTACTTGCCTCTGCCTCCTGAGTGCTGGGATTAAAGGCATGTGCCACCAACAGCAGTTTATTTTTATTTTTTGTCCTCCTCCCCCGTCCCGCTTTCTCTGTTTCCATGGGCCACAGCTTGCTGCACGCTGTTTTTTAATGTTTTGGGTTCTCTCTGCACACCAACAGAAGTATAAAAACCTCTCTCCCACAACTGCCCCATCTTTCTGAGCATGTCCCTATGTTTCAGAGTTTCAGGTTATGTTGCAGAGTAACAAATGTTTTCATCAGAAGTCCACCAATTGGTCATTATAGCACAGGCTAGCCTCAAAAGCAAAAACCACCACCACAACCACCACCACCAAAAAACTTGGATCCTCCTGTTCCGGCTTCCTGAGTGCTTGGATTGCAGGTGTGCACCACTAGGCTCTACCTACCAATGTGAATATGCAACCCAGGTTCATCTAAAAAAGAAGGCGCACCCCCCCCCCCCAGCACTGACAGATATGTCTACAGAGAAGTCTGAGCAGCATGAACTCTTAGCATCCAGGCAAACCTTGGCCCTACCCTTTGGGAAACCTGGCCGACTGCCCACCACTCTGCAAATGGCAAGCAGTAGCTAGGCTGTATATAGGTGCAAAGGTCCCTTTAAGAGACAAACCCTATGCACTCCCACTCTCTTTCCCACTGTACCTCTAAAGTGGCAGGCAGGACTTTTCTTGTCTCTTCTCTCTCTCTTTATCTCTCCCCCTCTCTTCCCTTTCCCTACTTCCCTTCCTTCCTCCCAATAAAACTTCCCACTTGAGTTCCATCTGCCTGGCTGTGTTTGTCCTTCACCCACCACGTGACCCTTCCAAGGTCATCTTCACACCATTCATAGCATGCACAGTGTACAGTGAGGCTTCAGCATAACAGATGTGCAGTCATTCTTGTGACCGAACCACAAACTCATGGAGAGTGGCTTTGTCTGGGTACACCATATATCTGACAACACATGATACATATCTGTCCTATATGTACAACATGTGAAAGCCAGGTACGGTGGTGTAAGGCCTATAATCCCAGATCTAAGGAAGCTGAGCCAGGAGGATTGCTATGAGTTTCAGAGCTACAAGTAGCAAGACTCTGTCTCAAAAAACAAAGTGAGGGCTGGGTGGTGGTACATGCCATTAATCCTAGCACTTAGGCAGCAGAGGGAGGCAGATCTATGAGTTCCAGGACAGCCAGGGCTACACAGAAAAATCCTATTTCAACTACGCCCTCCGGAAAAAAAAAAAAAAAAAAAAAAAAAAAAAAAAAACAAAAAAAAAAAAAAAAAAAAAAAAAAAAAAAGACAAAACCAAGGAAAGCAAAACAAAATATGGGCATATTTGTTATTTGTGTTCATTAAGACAATAGGTTAATAACAAATAGTTTATTATTCAAATGACTCACAATGTCCACATCAAGCCAATAAAAATATATAATATGTGAGTTACTTAATGACATAGTCGACTGTAATTCTTTTGGAGGTCAGCCTTTCATATGTAAATGAAAGCCCCCGGTTTTCTAGATTAATCTCTATTGGGTAACGACTGGGCATGATAAAGACCTCCCTGGTGGTGGGCATGGAGTAGTCAGCCCTACACACATCTCGTGGACTGTGGGCTCCTCTCCGATGCTGCAGAATTGAGCATTCTGGGTTGCAACATTTTCCAGGTTTAACGTGTCAAGACAAAGACACAATTTGAACCCAGCAGTTGTAGAAGGCACACTTCCATTTGAAGTCGGTGTTTGTCCTCTTCAATGGTATTTGCAAATTTAAAGAAAGGCAAATCTTGTTTTTTGAGGCAGGGTCTCACTGTGTACCAAGTGCTGGGACTAAAGGTGGTATGCTAACATGCTCAACACAAATGAAATGTTTTCATCTACTATGGCTTTTACACATTGTGGGCTCTCTTTCTGACTTTTTAAAATCTTAGTTTTATTATTTGTGTTTGCATGCATGTGCACACATGGACATGCAGGCCCTAGTATTATGGCATGCTTGTGGAGGTTTAAGGACAACTTTGTAAAGCTGGTCTCTCTTTCTGCCCTTACATAGGTTCCAGAGATTGAACTCAGGTTACGAGGTGTGCGTGGCAAGCGCCTTTTCTGAATGAGCTATCTTGCCAGCCTTCAACTGACTTTAGTGTCACTGGTAGACAATTGGGATCAACAATGTTAAAGCTAATGATTCATCACAGGACTGGCCCTTTGAAAGAAAAGACAAGCCTGGCTGTGGTGGCACATGCCTCTGATCCCAACACCTGAGGAGGCAGAGGCAGGTGGATCTCTCTGGGTTTAAGGCCAGCCTGGTCTACTAAGTGAATCCTAGGATAGCCAGAGCTACATAGAAAGACCCTGTCTCAAAAATACAACAAACAAACAAAAACCATAGAAAATGGTTTTTTTGAAGACTATTTTGACAAATAGGGGCTTGGTTTGTAGGTACACACCACAGTCAGAGGCAAAAATTAGACTGTTACAGGCAGGGAATAGATAGTCTGTGTATGTGAGAGAGGGACAGAGATGCGAGAGAATATTTTTGAGTTTAAGTGAGGCTGTAGCTTCCTGAGAAGGTTCTAATTGGCTGAAATAGTAATTTGGGTAGTCAGTATTTTTTTAACAGGCATGATGAGAAATACTGATTTGTCCATTTATGAGGAAGTGAATAAGGCTGCTGCTTAATGACCAGTTGGGACATCTGTTTACACAGATATTTTAGTCGAGAGAGATATAAGTAGGATATTCTTCCTTGTCTGAGAGACTGAGACAAAGTTTACACAGATTAGGGGAAGGCTGAGCCTGGAAGTTAAAAGCATCCCATAAATGCAGAGCAGCGGTGAAAGAAAGTCAGTGGGCAGTCGTTTTAATAACTATTTACAAGGACTTCGATAGTTTCACTTGGCAGCTCACATGCAAGTGACCTGTGTCACACCCTCTTCCTGGTCAAACTGTCCGTCATCCAGTTCCCGGAGGGCACTGTGGCTGCTGCTGAACCCCAAGAAGCTGTCACTCTGTGCTGGCCGCTCCTCCTTGGTCCAACATTCTCTGGAGGGACAGAGGGGGCCCTCCTCAAGAGGCCCTCGGCCTTGTGCAGGTTGGGATGCGCTGGTGTCCAGGCCGATGCTCCTGCTGCCGACCTTGTTTCTGTCCTCACCCTTCAGCAGCCGGCTGGTTTTCCTCTGAAAAGAAGGGAAGAGATTGTCAACCAGGGCTTGGAACACATGCCAGGCAACTCTTCTCTGCCAGCACCTCTCTGCCTGGAACTCCTGTCTCTTTCCCACGTCTCTGTAACAGTTGGGGTATGACTCAGAGCCTGGAGCCCTGCTTGTCTTGCTTGCTGTCCTCACTACCTGGCAGGGACATCCTGCTGATCGCTAAGGTCCAGCTCAGAGCTCTGCTCCTCTCTCTGCCTGTCTTGCAAATCTGCTTTTGGTTTGTCCTTCTCAGCCAAAGGTGTTTGTGTGCACATTTCTCAAGAGACAATGAGTTAAATTTGTACTTGAGGAACAAAGGGAGCAAGAAACTGTTACCAACTGTTGGTAACAGTTGGTGTCTAAAAAGCAGAACATATGCCTTAGTGGGTCCCTTGTCCTGGAAAACTCAGACCCAGTTCCTTTAACGACTGATGGAATGTCCTTGGGGGTCTAAGCAGACCTTTTCTTGTCCTGCTACAGACAAGGTTATTGCTCTGTAGTTCAATCCAGCCCATTCACCAGACTGACAACATGTTAATAAATATTTACTGAAGGCTGGCAATGTCCTGGTTCATGTGGTAGTTAAAGAAGAATGGCTCCCAGAAGCTCATGTATTTGACTGGAATGCTTAGTCACTAGGGAGTGGCACTCTGAAAAGATTAGAAGGATTAGCAGGTGTGGCCTTGTTGGAGAAGGTGTGGCTTTGTTGGAGGAAGTGTGTCACTGTGGGTGGGCTTTGAAATCTCAGAAACCTATGCCAGGCACAGTCTGTCCCTGTCTCTGTCTCTCTCTAGCCCTGCAGGTAGCTCTCAGTTTTGCTCCAGCACCATGCATGCAGCCACACTTGTACCATAATGATAATGGATCAACCCCCTGAAACTGTAAGCAAGCCTCCAATTAAATGCTTTCTTTTATAAACATTTATCTGATCGTGGTGTCTCTTCATAGCAAGAGAATGGTGACTAAGACAGTACAGTTCATGGTGACTTCTCTGCCATGTAAACTTAGATTAAAACCAGATCTCTAGGTGACAGTAGGAGCTGGAGGATGACTCAAGCCCAGCATGTGGACCTCCAGGCTGCTACAGTCCACTTAACTAACGTGTAAGGAATGTGTCACATATTGGACCTGATCACAAAACCCCAGCTTTATAAAGCTGAGTAAGGTTTTATAAAGCAAACTAGTAGTCATGGCATTCTTTTCATTTACAAAGAAAAAGTTTATTTACCCAACATTCATTTCAGTGTTAGCCAGAAACTAAGATTACTGTATGAAGTTATGAAACTCTTAGAAAACACTGGCCTCATTGACTGGTCTTACAACAGTTTCCTGCTCCCATCTCCACTGACTCACCTTTGCTCTCATCAAACACAAACACCAGAACTTCGACCCTTGTCCTTTATTCCTGCTCAAAACGTGTTGAGCCAAGTACTCACAGTGGGGCCTCAAAAGAGCCTCTCAGAGAGGCGCCAGGTTTGAGAATGGTGCCCCGATGTTGGCAGGGCTGAACAGCACTGCTAGGCTGGGCTTCTTCGAGCCTGGCTAGCAGGGACCTTTCCCACAGGCACAAAAATCTCCTGCTCAACCGCCCACTCTGACTCACACAGGGAGGCCCCTGGAGCCCTTAGTTGTACTAGGGACAAAGGTGACTTTTGCAATACGTTATTGTATGTCAGATAACAGGCCAACTCTTATTGCAATGAGAATTTCCTTAATAAAAACAGAATACTCCTTAGAATGATCTATCCATAGTAATGTACTTTAGATAATTGTTAATAAGTAAACGAGTATCGGTTGTAAATTTGAAATACTACCTGACAAAAATACCTAACACGGTATCCTAAAGGATTTCAGAAAACAATGCCTTTGATTTCAGGGGACTATGGAGTTTTATTAACATGTCTTTCACAATGAAATTGCCTCTCCCACACAACCTCACCCCACATGAAACATTTTTACAATAAGCAAATTTGTGGTGTCCTAATAACTCACAATGTTGGAGTCTGAAAGCTACGCCGTCCTGGGAGACCATTCATGTCAGTCCCCCCATTCTTCAGGGGTCCCCCATGGAGGGATAAGGCTGTGGAGTGTCCGGCCCCACACGGACACTGGGGCCACCTGCCTTGTTCTTTTCACAGTATACTCGTCACATTTACAAAAACAAGACTATATCAGTGACACAAGCCTTGTGTTCCCTAAATAAAGATTTCTTCATGTTATAGAATAATGTACATACAATGTAGGGAACCTGGTAGAACAAAGGAAAAAGCAACTCACCTATAAACCTATCTGCAAAGAATACTAGTTAGAGCCTTGCCATAATTACCCCCTCTCTTTCTTTTCTTTTTCTTTTTTCCTTTTTTCTTTTCCTTCTTTCTTTCTTTTCTTTCTTTCTTTCTTTCTTTTTTTTTTTTGTTTTTTCGAGACAGGGTTTCTCTGTGGCTTTGGAGGCTGTCCTGGAACTAGCTCTTGTAGACCAGGCTGGTCTCGAACTCAGAGAGATCTGCCTGCCTCTGCCTCCCAAGTGCTGGGATTAAAGGCTTGAGTCACCAGCGCCTGGCACTCTCTTTCTAGATATAAGTAGACAAATGGTACATAAGAACACGATACAAGCTCTTTTGGCCTTTGGTCTCCTGGTTGCTGCACCTGGTTTCCCTTTCTTAGCCCAGCTCTGTCTGGTCATGTCCACTCTGGCCTCTCCCAGATCCCTGCCTCTGACTAGGCTATGCCACACATCTACAATAAACTTCCTCCTCCACCATATCTAGGAGTGGTCATGTTCTTTCTTGTGCTTTTTATTCTTTTTTTTTTCTTTTATTCATCTGGTGCTGAAACCTGGGAGACCCCTCTTCTATGAACTCCTCACTCTGACCCCAGCTGCTGACCTGACCCTGCTAAGGAGTGTAGGGATCGTTTGCTTCTGCTGGCTTCTGCCACCTGACAAATCTGATTCTGGAGTCTGCCTCTTCAGCTGCTTCCCTCCACCTTAACTAACATCCATCTTTCCTTGCCTCCTCAGTACGTACCCTCTTCCCAGTTACACACTTTGGGCCACTTGCCATGTGGTCATCTCCATTCTACACCCTTTTTTGGCCTCCAGCCATGTGTGCATCTCCCTTTTCAGACTGTCCACTGTAGGGAGAGATCCCGATACCTGTACCACTTGGACATATCCCTACCACGCCCTTTGGGCTGCCCATCACGTGCACAATTCTATTTACTGAGACACTTGCACTTCTACAGCTGTTTCCTCCTCTACCTGCTCTAACCACTTGTCTCACCCCTTCTACTGGGCAAGTGTCACTATGGAGCTCCCTTCTTTGTCTACTTTGAAAGTCACACTGGTGTGCCAGGAAGCTTCCTACCAGCCCCCACCACATGGAAAGAGACACTTCTCCTCTGTGATTTTGGACATTTCTCTCTGACAAGTTCCTCAGTCTTCTTTGGGATGCCCTGGGTTGACATTCTTGTTACCATGACACTTATCCCCTTTGCTCTCTCATGGCTTCTCTCAACTCCTTCCTGGAACTTTCTCACCTCTCCCTAGGAGCTGCAGCTATGCTCCTGGGTTTGTAACCCTTTCCTGTTCTATCTCTCCTAGTGCCTCCACCCAGGGCTTATAGCTTGTGAGTTTCTTTGCCTCCCTTAAGGTGGTTTTGGTTAGTATTTTTCAGAGAAATAGAAAGCAAAGCAGGGCACTGGGACTACAAGCACATGCCATGATGCCCAGTGTAGAATTTTATTTTAATTATTTATTTGTGTGTGTGTGTGTGTGTGTGTGTGTGTGTGTGTGTGTGTGTGTGTGTGTGTATCCCTGCATATTTGTCTTGGTATTTGAGACAACTTTTGGGAGTCAGGTTCTCTTCTCCCACCATATGGGTCCTGGGAAATCAAACTTGGGTAGTCTATGAGGCTTGGCAGAGAATACCTTTATTTGTGAAGCCATTTCACTGGTCCTGGGGTTTTATTTTTTAAAACGTCTGTATTGTAAAACTGATATTTGGGTATACATTCCAGTAGGCTTTGACAAACACCACAGCAGTTCCGTCATCTCTCGAACTTTCCTGCACATCTCCTATCCCATGGTTCACTGAATCCAAGCAACCATAGATCTGACCTCTACATCAAAGTAATGGATGCAATGTGAATGGAATAATACAGTCTGTAACCTTTGGGGACTGGCTCCTTTTGCTCAGCCTAACACCCGAGAGACCCATGCAAGTTACTGTTCTTATCCATGGCTCATTTCTTATTTCTGTAGTACTTTTAAGTAGTACTTAATTGAATGGCTGCACCATCATTGTTTAACCATCCACATATTGAAGACAGAGACTTTCTCCTGCTCAGGGCATTTGTGACTAGAGTAACTACAAATATTTGTGCATACACTTGTGCGTGGGTGTGTCTCTGATGTAAACACCCAGGGAAGGGGATTGCTGAGTCACATGTGTGTGTTTAAAGTCACAAGACCATCTTCTGGAGTGCCTAGATTGCTTGTATCCCTCCCAGCAGTGACCGCTGTGCTTGCCCTTCAGCCTCACCAGCCCCCGTTACTGTTAGACTAGAAATTCAGTCTTTGTAATATATGCATGCTGGCATCTCGTCATGGGCTACATTTGCACTCCCATTAAAGCATCTTTTCATATCCTCATTAGTAACTGTGTTATTTTCTTACTGTTGATATTTGGGCATCCTTGACACAGCCCATTGTTATAGATGTTGTGGTCTGTGGTTATCTGTTCATTCTTTTAGTGGTATAAGTCACGTAGCACAGGTTTTTAATTTTGATGAAATCTAATTCATCAACTTTTAATGAATCATGGCTTTGCCATTATGTCTGAGATCTTTCCTAACTTTGAGGACACTTCGTCCCCCAATGTCTATTCTAAACGTTTTCTAGTTTTACTATTGTTTTCGATGTCTTAAAGAAAATAGGGATTTAAAATTGGTCTAATTACAATTATAAAAATAATTAATTTACAAAAAAGAAGAAAATGGGGCTGGGGGTGCAGCTCTGTTGTAAGGTGCTTGTCCGGCAGCAGTTGTAGGGACTCCTGACACTTCTGCAGGAGAGGCAGGAGGTTGAGGATTTCAGGGTTGGGGACTCATGGCTCAGTCATTCTGAGATAGTGAGGCACTCACACTGCTGACTGTGGTGAGCCTCAGCCTTGGGCTCCCATGTCACACTTAGCTTCAGCAGCAAGCGCCCCAGATCATCTCTGTCTGCCCCTTGTGCTCTTGGCCATGAGCCAGTCCACTCATTTTATCTGGCTCTGGCTCGGATCTAGCAGTACTTGGTGCCAAGGGTCACTAGAAAGACTGTAATATCTGGAGACCCAAGCCCTGGAGGGGGGCTGTGGGACTCGCTAAGTGGCAGCCATGCCCATGGCTTCTTCTGAGGAGGATTTTGTAAATCTCACCCTGGCCTTTGTCTTTTCACTGCGCCACCCTCCTCTCTTTTACACTTTCCATATGTCCCCACTCCCTTTGTGAACTCCGGACACTTTCCCTCCATCCTTTTGGAGTGGAGTCTTGTCTTGTCCTGACTCTTTCTCTCTACAGCATCACGTAGAAGCAGCTTCATGTCTACCATTAGAAAGAAGAGTGAAATCTGTGCTGGATATGTCAACTTCACAAGCTAGAGTCATCCCTCCTCTCAGCCAGGTTCTTGCAGAACCCAGGACCACCAGCCCAGGAATGGCACCACCCACAATGAGCTGGGCCCTCCCCCATCAATCACTAATTAAGAAAATGCTCAGCCTTGAGGTGGTGGTGCACACCTTTAATCCCAGCACTAGGGAGGCAAACGCTGGAGGATCTTCATGAATTATTTTTAACTATTTATTTATTTATTATATATACAGTGTTCTGCCTGCATGTATCCCTGCAGTCCAGAAGGGGGAACCAGACTACATTACAGATGGTTGGGAGCTACCATGTGGTTGTTGGGAATTGAACCCAGGACCTCTGGAAGAACGGGCAGTGCCCTTAACCCCTGAGCCATCTCTCCAGCCAGGATCTTCATGAATTTGAGGCCAGCCTGGTCTACAGAGTGAGTTCCAGGACAGCTGAGGCTACCCAGAGAAACCATGTCTCGAAAAAAAAAATACACAGAGAAACTGTCTCAAAAAAAAAAAAAAAAAAAAAAAAAAAAAAAAAAAACCCAAAAAAAGAAAAGAAAACGCTCTACAAGCTTGCCTGCAGCCTGATATCGTGGAGGCATTTTCCATTTTCCAGTCTCTTTCTGGCAGGGGAAAGCAGATGTGTACACAGACTAAGAAACCTCTACCTCTAAAAAGTGACACATGCACCATTCTATGGCAGAAGAGAGGGGCAGGCAGAGAGCACGCTTCCCGTGTCTGCTCTTTTAATTGCCTGCAGCTCCGCATGGTCCTCATGATAAGTGCTGCTTGTTGGAACAGAATATTTGAATAGTCTTTGGAACTGTGCCAGGTAGCTGGAAGGCAGGCATATGTATCCTTTCTTTTAAAAAAATCACAAATTTTACTTTATTAATTATTGTACATCAGTGCATATGTGTGTGAGTGCAGGCTCACGGAGGCCGATGGTGCGTGTGTGGGTCATAGGACAGTTCTTGGGAGTCAGTTTTCTCCTTCTACAGTGGGTTCTGGGGGGACCAGTCAGTTTCTTTTTACATTCTTCTTTAGAAGACTGTTTCCATGTTGAGTCAGCATGGCCCACTCTGTACTCATATTTAAAACGAGAGAGAGCACTTAGAGGTTAAATGCTTTACTGTCATGTCTTACCACAAAGTCAAAATTGGTGAATTTTACTTACTTCTGGCGTCTGGGCAGCTGAACTCCACACAATTGGCCTTTGGAGAAATACGACCTGCTTTGTAGCCAAATTGCCTTCACTGAAAGTTAAAACAGTAAGATTAGTATTTGTGAATTAGGAATTTTCTTTTAATCCCAGAGAAATTCCAATTACTTTTTAAAGTTAAGAAACCAATAAATGAAGCCCGGAGATGATGGTGCACACCTTTACTCACAGCACTCGGGAGGCTGAGGCAGGAGGATCTCTGTGAGTTTGAGGCCAGCCTGGTCTTCAAAAGCGAGTTCCAGGACAGGCTCCAAAGCTACACAGAGAAACCCTGTCAAAAAAAAAAAAAAAAAAAGAAAGAAAGAAAGAAACCAATAAATGGATTTCTATGGCATTTCAATGCATATTCATTACACTTTGTTCTAGCTAATTAGTACTTTTCTCTCTATATATTTACAATTGACTAGGGAGGCCCACATATATTTTTTGTAGGGTAATCCTCTGATCCCCTTTGAAAATGATCCTATATAAACTTCATTGGAAAACAAAAAGAAAAAAATCTTTCTATTAAGAAAAATTAATTGGGGGTGGGTGTTGGAGAGATCACTCAGTGGTTTAGAGCACTAGTTGCTCTTCCGGGGGATCTGGGTTTGATTCCCAGCACCCACACCGTGGCTGGCGACTGGCTGTGATTCTAGTTCTAGGGGCTCCAATACCCTCTTTCTGTCTCCATTGGCATCAGGTATGCACATGGCATACAGACAAACATTCAGGCAAAACATCCAGACACATACAAACAAGAAGCTTTAGAGTGGACTCAGTGATTGGAATGGACACTGCTGGGGCTGGAGAGATGGCTGAGTGGTCAAGAACATGGGTTGCTTTTTCCAGAGGACCTGGGTTTAATTCCCAATATGGACATAATAGCTTACAACTTTTGTAACTCCAGTTCCAGAGGACCTGATGCCCTCTTCTGGCCTCTTCTGGCATGCATTTTTGTGATGCACATAAGTGCAGCGAAAACATTCACACACCTTAAAATAAACCTAAAAGAATTAAAAAAAAAATTCATTTTGCAGCACCCATATCAGGTGGCTAAGAGTCACCTGTAACTCCAGGTAGTAGGGACCTGATGTCGTCTACTCTCCTCCATGGGCACTTGCACATATGTGCCATTCATTCACACAGACATATACATACACATAAATTAAATAAAATAAAAATTTAAACTAATTAAAAACCCCCTTCAACAACATGGTCATTACAAAAAAGTCACTTTTGGTTATAATCTCACCAGGTTAGCAAAACTATTTTCATTTCTTTGTTTTGTCTCTTGTACTCAATACCTGCAGTTTTTGCATAGCTGTGACTACTGTGTATTTACATTTTATTTCCTTGTATATGGTGGTGGTGTTTTAAATAGATGTCTAAGATCTTCAAAGAATGAAGACACAAGGATGAACCCTTTTCCCTTTAGTTTTGGAAAATTAGTTTGCTGCTAGTTCTAAGTCATGCTATTATAAAAATATACATAGTTGTCCTCTTGTGAATTATTTCTTTAAGATGAATTCTCAGGAATGAGATAATTAGGTCAAAAAGTATGACGCAAGCCTCTTGGTATGCACTGTCAAATTAGAGACTGAATTTGGGAGCCTCATGTAGGGGAATTTATATGTATTTTCCACTGAGACAGTTCAGCCACAGCCAGTTCCATTCATTTCAGATGCTCTTTGTAGCCAGCCACTCACTATTCTCCTATTTAGCTGTCATTGTGGCAAATTACCCCTCACCAAAGACGACTCAGGGCGGTATTCCTCTGAAGAGCTTTCCAGACTCTTTGGGTTTGTGGGGAGGAGTGTTTGCATCTAAAGTTGCTCAGTTACAACTTTTATCATGCAAAGAACCCCAACAAAACCTTACTACTGGCTGTAATTGATCTGTGCTCTTGTTCTGGAAGATGAATGTTGAGTGAAGCTTTGGCCCTACAGTGTGCAGTCAACGGGACACTAGCAGAGCATCCAACTTATGGGTGCCGTTAACTTGTGGAAATGAATCCTCCCCCAAAGTGCTTGGAGGAGACATTTCTATTTTATGTGCATTGTGTTTTCAACAGGAAACTGGAAGTTACAGAGAGTTGTGAGCTGCCACGTGGTTGCCGGGGATAGAACCTGGGTCCTCCGGAAGAACAGCCAGTGCTGGTAACTGCTGAGTCATGCCTCCAGCCTATACACTTTTATTTTTAAAAGACTTCTTATAGTCCAGTCTCATTTCAGATTGATCTTATCTTCTTCAGAACAGAACACTTTGTATGATGTAACTTTGGGGGATAAACTGTGAGTACTACAGGGAAGGGTTAGCATATAGAATGGACTGGGCCTGTGTTTAGGAGTCATGGGGACACTGGGAAAGGCCAGGACTGGGAACCAGACAGTTCCTGGGTTCAGACCCAAGCCCTGTTACAGTACCTGCAGCTCATGGCCATTGTGTTCTTCACTGTTACAAAAGGCCCTGGGAAGCATGAAGAGGAGTCTTCCTCTGTGCTCCTACGCAAAGGAACACTGTGTGACTTCCGGGGCTGGAGAGCTGGACAGCTGGACAGCTGGCTCAGTGGCAAAGAGCACTTGCTGTTCTTGCAGAGGACCTGGGTTCAGTTCCCAGCACCCACATGGTGGCTCACAAGTGTTGGTAAGTCTAGTTCCAGAGGAACCGGCCTCTGGAAGAATTGCAGGTAAAACATTCATATACATAACATGAAATAAATAGGCAGGAAGGGAGGAAGGAAAGTGCTCACATTCACGTCTCCATACACTTAGAACAAGGAAGAAATGAAGTAGTCTGTCTACCCTCCCCTTCTCACTCTTTCCACAATGCTGAAACACTTCTTTGTGTCAAGGCTGAATGACCCCGTGAGGCTCTGGCGGCAGAAGGGAGACACCTTTTAACGGTAAAGCTTCATCATCAGTGAATAAGCTTAGGCTATTTTGAAAAAGTCCAAGTTCTCATTTAGCATCTGGTTTAGTCAAGATTTCCATTTATAGTGTGCAGAGCACACTGTAGTGGAGAATAACCAGGAAATAAAAACAAGTCTCTACCCCACCACCCCAAGGCAATCAGCCTGCTTAAACTTAGAGGTCCTAATGTGAGCGGCTGCTGGGACACAGAGAAACTTTGTGTGCAGACAACCATGTTGTTACACACAGACAAAACTCAGTAAAAGCAACACACAGAAAAGAGCTTCATACCACATAATCCCATGCTCTGCTGGCAGCAAGCTCACAGGTATTAGCTTATGCACTTTTTGTTATGCACATATGTACTTCCTGTGTGTTTTATTCATAGCAATTGTTGAGATTTTGTTATTTTTATGTGTATGGGTGCTTTGGAGGTTGTACACCCTGCTGTGGGTACTGGGAACTAAACCCTGGTCCTCTGGAAGAGCAGTTAGTGCTTTTAATTACAGAACCATCTCTTCAGCACTCACAGCAATTGTTTCAAGGGGGCACATTAATAGTGAATTTATTTCTGGTACTGTAAACCAGTTAAATGCCCATGGATGAGGAAGTCATTGGTCCAGTGGGGAAGCTACCACTGTCATTTGCCAAATAGCCCAGCGCTCTGTCAGTTTCAGTGGGAGGGGCTTCCTTTTGCAGTTGCAACTGTTATTGTAGAGACTCCTAACTGGCCAAGGTGCTGAGAGAAAGTGACCAATGAATGTTCAGCCCCAAACAGGATATCAATATCACACCCCAGGCCCAGGCTCAGGGACACTGCAGAGTGGTGGTGGGAGAAGGACAATAAGGGCTGGAGGGAACACAGAGTACCATGGAAGACTGTCTTCTGGGTATAGTGTGCCTATTGCACTCTGTGACTCATTACCTGCCCGCAGGGGACCCACAGCCTGGGACCATAAGTGGTGTAACACTGCCCAGGAAAAGGTAATAACCTTGAGAGCACTGAGTGTATGCTTGTGTTCTGTGTTGTCGTGAGGGGAAGTGCCCTGTGTGGGCCATTCAGGTACAGCGCAAGCAACAGAAGAGCAGCAGAAGCTGAAATACTGCATCTAAGGAGGGGACTGTTCATGGACAAGGGGTCTGAGTGATAGATTTTCTGGCACATGCCTCCCAAGAAAGAGTGTGACATTTCTTTTTCTGGATATAAAGTTGTAGCTCTATGACAAATGACTTATTTCTGTTGTCTTATTGTCTTGGAATCCTCAATGCCCATTTTGTACACGGTGGACTGTAATACCTTCTGGGATATTTTGATTTGGGACAGGCCAACCTATCGTGCTTGGACAACTGATTTCAACCTCTTAGGAATTTGGTCCTGCTAAAGGACTAGGTACTTAAATAATAACTCTCATTTGTTAGCCTAGTGTGCTCAGGCAGAGGCAGGTGAATGTGTGAGTTCAAGGCCAGCCTGGTCTACAGAGAAAGTGCCAGGATAGCCAGGGCTACACAGAGAAATCCTGTCTTGAATTGCCCCCCCAAAAAACCTATAAAATTAAACTTCAAACTCATATATATATATATGGGTGTTTTTTTTTCTGTATAATAAATGCACCACATTCATGCAGCGTCTGATGAGATCAGAAGAGGGTGTCAGAATTCTGAAACTGGAGCCACAGATGTTTGTGCTGGGATCAAACCTGGGTCCTCTGGAAGAGTAGCAGTACTCATAACCACTGAGCCATCGCTCCAGGCCCCCACATCCTTAACAGTTATTACAGAGGGATTCTATGACAATGCATATTTAGTGAGCAATTAGCCCCCTGACATTCTAATAGTATATAAAGATAAGTCCTCCTGGGCGGGGGCAGTAAGAGGCACACTTTCAAGGTTGCATAATGCCTAGAGGATCTGAGGTGCAGGAGAAATTTGCATGATGGTAGAGTTTTGGTGCCCCTCTCCCTTCCTTTGCTATAGAATTGCCATACGGCCACTCCAAAGCACTGGGTTGCAGTTTGACACAAAATGGCTTAGTGTGGCTTCATGTTTCACGACCTACCCCCATTTCAAGGTATACTTGGGGGTGGGGAATCACAATATATTTTAGCTCCGCCCTTAGGCTCAGTCCTGTCATTCCTAAACTGATCCTGACCGGACACAGGAAATGCCACTGGAGCCCATGTTCTGAGGCTCAGCAGAAGTGGGCTGGCTGCCAGATGTCCTGCCCATTCATTCGGAGGACTGTGGGAAATACTTAGAAGTGAGACCAGCTGGAATCCCTGAATGAATGGCAAGGAACAATTACACTTTTCCTTAGGGGAAGAGGAGAGGTTTAGGATTTACATGTTTTGGAAGGTCTGAAATTCTAAATCTATCAGCCGATGGACACCTAGGAGAACCATCAAAACCAGACAAAGAAGCCAGACTTGGTGATGGTATACACATTTAATCCCAGCACTCGGGAGGCAGAGGCAGGTGGATATCTAGGCACATTAAAAAAAAATCTATAAAATTGGGATTATTCTCTAATATAGTCCTAAAACTTACCTTTAAAACCCATAGAAGGCCGGGCCTTGGTGGCACACGCCTTTAATCCCAGTACTCGGGAGGCAGAGGCAGGTGGATGTCTGTGAGTTTGAGGTCAGCCTGGTCTCCAGAGCAAGTGTCAGGATAGGCTCCAAAGCTACACAGAGAAACCCAGTCTCGAAAAACAAAAACAAAACAAAACCAAAACCAAACCAAACCAAAACAAAACCAAAAAACCATAGAAAAGCCGGGCGGTGGTGGTGCATACCTTTAATCCCAGCAGTTGGGAGGCAGAGGCAGGTGGATCTATGTGAGTTTGAGACCAGCCTGGTTTACAGAGAGAGTGCCAGGACAGCCAGGGCTACACAGAGAGACCTAGTCTCAAAAACAAACAACAAACAAAACAAGAAAGAAAGAAATAAAGAAAAGAAAAACCAACCAACCAACCAAACAAACAAAAACTGTGTTGACAGCTGCCAACAGACCGGGTGTTCAGAAGGTATGTGTGGACAGAGGGTGCAGACCCCTGGCTCAGGACAGAGGAGTTCCTTTGTCTTTCGGAAGTCCCTGATACAAATACCAGGGTCCTACCCCAAAGCTGCTGTCTTACTGGGGTGGGCCTGCAGTGTTTGTGTCTTCGTAGGCTCTTCTGGTAATGTACTTAGGGTTACTGCTGACAGTAATTGCTGACAGATCACGGCAGATGAAGAAAATTGGGAAATAGTGTTTTAGGGAGTCAGCTCTCAGTGTGAGGACAGTTCCTTCCGATCTTAGAGAAATGGATGAGTGGTTTGCTCATCTCTCACTATTCCTCTTGTGATCTTTAAGCCTGAGTGAGTTGTTATGTCCTTGATACCTCTGCCCACTTGAAAAAACTGTGGCCTTTTTCTCAAGCCGTGCCAATCACAGGTTTTTACAGTCTGCTAAGACACTGGGGGAGGACCCGAGGAGATGAGTGAGACCAGGAAGTGGGGGTTCTCACACAAGGTGGTGATTTGGAACATGAAGCTATGATGACAAGGTCCCTGGGGGCACGGTGCCACCTGAGGTACAGGGCAGTCATGTTCAGGACAGTGAGGGCAGAGGGAGCGTCTGTGGGTGGAGAGGACAGTGAAGCATTTTACACCTAAGCACCAGTTGGCCTCTTTAGAAAATTAAGTGATAAGATGAGGTGACTGGAACCTTCTTCCCCAAGGCCAGTGAGCAGGGGAAGGAGCGGGAAGTTCCCACTAGTTAGCTGTTGGCACTCTAGTTTCAGTGTAGACGTTCAAACAAACAAAGCCATGGGTGCAGGGGCCAGGTAACCCACCACACTGGGGCAGGTGGAAGAGCAAGGCAGCCAAGTTCCTTTTCCTGCTTGACCTGACCACGGACCGCAGCCTGGCTTGTGCTGGGGACAGTTCTGCACAGAGCGAAGCGATCAAGAGTGCATACATCTGTATGACTAAGGGATTGGATTTGTTAACCTCCTCATTCTATGAAGCTAACACCGGAAGCATTTCTCATCAGCTTTAAATAAGCATTGGTTAATTTATCTCAGGGATGGAAAGATTTTAGAATTAAATGTGTAAGTGAAGATACTCGGGCATTACCTGTCGTGTCTCAAAATGGGTGTGGGCAGCACGCTTGTGAGAAGCCATCCAAATTCAGCCAGAGTGTGCAGCAGAGGGCCGTAGTCTGTTTTGATTTCACAGCCCTGTGTGAAGAAGCATAAGAGATGACAGTCTAATGGCAAAGACGGCGGGCCACACAGTTGCAAGGATGAGGAGAGGTGATGGGTGACACAGCGTCATGGGGCTCTAGCCCCCAGAGCCTCATCCTCTGCAACTGCTGCCTCTTCATAAAGCCACAGCTGCACAGTGGCTATTCAGTCCGGTCTTTGTTCTCGGGGAAGCCATAGTTCTCAGATTCTAATGTGTGGAGCTGGAGGAACCCGTATGTTAAAAGCTCCTTGGGGCATTGGTTCCATGAAGCATACAAAGTAGGTTCAGCAACAGTAGTCGAGGGATGGGGACGAGAGGATGAGAGTGGGCAGAGAAGCCGACCGGGCCTGGTTCGGGCTCTCAAGTGTGGGCAGTGAGGCTGCCGGGGCCTGGATGTGTGGTCTCTGTTCTTGCCTCACTGGAGTTGGTCTTCACTTGCAGCTTTATTTAGCACCCATACCTTTCCACAACCCGTATAGAGGGGATTCCAATTTCTTTGAAAACGAGTTCTGACCTCTTATGGTCTTTGTAAGGCCAGGGGGTCAAAATGCTTCCTTGAAAGACCCTTTTGTGAGGGCTTCGTACATGCCACCGATATACCCAAAGATACCTGCCCACCTCAAGGGCAGTGGTCGGTGACGTCTGAATTCATAAATTCACAACCCTTCCAGCAGTGTCATCTCGGATTATAAAGGACAGTGCTGTGTGCACATATCTGGCCTAGCGTGTGCAAGAAAACCTATGGATGCTTTTACTTCAAAATCAATTTATAAGGTTAAAAAAAGCACATCATGTTGATTGCTCTGAGATTAAAAACTGTTTGTGCCTGAATTATTTTCAGTCAATTATCAAGACATTATTGTAGTGAGGATTTCAGCATCATGGTTTTGTTCAGGGATAGAGAATCTCAGATTTAGGGGAACCTACTTTTATTTTGGTGTAGACAATTATTATTATTATTGCTATTTTCCTGAAACATTTGAAAACCTGGGTAAAGCATATGGAAGAAGTTTGTCCATTCTTTTATGATGACACTGACTATCTGTGTTGAAGGATACTGAGTGTACCAGGCAATGATGATCTTTAGTATGTAAAATCACCCAAAAGGAAGGCAGAATTCTCAGAACCTGCAACTCACCTCAATGACAGTCCACTGCTCCACCACAATGGCGTCATTACCTTTCCTGCTAGAACCTGGAACTCCAGATCCTTCTTCTTCATAAATAAAAAATCCTTCCAGAGATTTAGGCAAATGGTCTCCTGCTGGGGAAAGGATACCATTCAGAAGAGTCATAAGTAAATCACACTGCTTCTAAGCATTACCAAGATCCTTGGGTAACTGCGACAGCAGGCTGGAAGAAAACCTTGTCAGGTGGAAGCTATTTCCTCATGTGTGTGCAGCCCCAGGGTCAGTCCCAGCATCACACAGTGACAGAAGCTAGGTGAGGTGGCTCACACTTGTAATCGCAGGACTTGTGAGCAACACTAGGAGGATCAGGAGTTTAAGGTCATCCTCAGCTACACAGCAAGTTTGAGGCCAGCTTGGGCTACATGAGATGCTATTTACAACATTAAAACGTGATGGAGAGATGGCTTAGCAGTTAAGCGTGCCTGCGGCTCTCCAAAGAATGGAGCTCAGTTCCCAGCACCACGTTGGGTGGCTCTCAATTGCCCAAGCTTTAGCTCAGGGAATCCCATACCCTCTTCTGGACTCCATGGGCACTTGCACACACATGGACATGAGAGCACATGTATGCACACACACAGACACACATACACACACATAACTAAAAAACCTTTACTGAGAAAACCCACTTAAAACAAAATTTATTTTGGTTGAGTCCCTTTTTCCCATAGGTAAGACAGTTTTATATTTCACTGAGATAAAATCAAACATATACATGAAACTACCATAGCAGAAACAAGATTAAATAATATGAGCGCGGATGGAATGTCAATCCCAGAAGCACTGGAAATGACCTTCACCTTGAAACAAGATTTTGGTTTATGATCTATTATGATTTATATTAGATGACCAATGGAAACATGAAAAATGTTATTCCTTGAAATTACAGGTATAATATTAAAACCAGTGTGTGGTAAGAGCTTTAAGAATGGTAAGCACAGGGCTAGGGAGATGGCTCAGTGGTTAAAGAGCTTGCTGTGCAAACCTAGGGATGGACCTGGTGCCCAGCTTCACATAAGAGCTGGCCCTGGGAGGCAGACAAACGTTTACTGACCTTCGGCCTGGACAAAATGACAAGCTCCAGGTCCAGCGAGAGACCCTGCTCCCCAAAACAGGGTGGAGAGTTACAGAGAAAGATAGTGGATGCTGACCTCTCTAGCCTGCACATGCACATGCTTGGACAAGTGCATACATATCACACACACACACACACACACACACACACACACACACACAAATACGGAACAATACCTCAGTGCATTAAAAAGTTCCAAGTCCCTCATAACAGTGACAGGAAGACTCTAACAGAAGTCATTGTCCAAGAATTCCTGCCCGGAAGGAAGTTTTAAGGGAAGGCCTCTCTGATTTTTTTTTCTTGAACAGTTGACAATTACCATCTGGCCTAAACTAAAGGATTTAATGGAAATTCTTTTGTCTCCCATTTTGCAATAGAAGACATTTTTTTCTCATGGTCATGTTCTGGGTAAACATTGTGGGTTTTATGTAGCACATGTCACATCAAATTTCCCTGTTTGTCATAGAAAACAGAACTGCTTTGTTACAATTATTATATATATATATATATATATATATATACATATAGTGTAATTATGTAATAATTATAATGGAGAAATTTGTCTTTGCCTATAAATATGTGGTCATATATCAGAAGCTTTAATAAATATTGTCATTTTAAGACAAATATTCCAATTAACTTACATCATGATGTGCTCATATTTCACCTTGGGGGGAATGGTGAATATATTGCTTAATATGATCCAAGTATATTCTGTACCTTATGTTTATGCTTTAATAAGGAACGTATCTTCTAATTTATCAGCACAGTCATTTTTATTTTATTGTTACCATCTCCATTAAAATGATTTGTCCTGCTGGGTGTTGGTGGTGCAGGCCTTTAATCCCAGCACTGGGGAAGCAGAGGCAGGTGGATCTCTGTGAGTTCGAGACCAGCCTGGTCTACAAGAGCTAGTTCCAGGACAGTCTCCAAAGACACACAGAGAAACCCTGTCTCAAAAAAACCAAAAAGATTTGCCCTAAAAAAGATTCCTGTTTCTGAATAATAAAGGCTGGCAAAGGCAAGGTTTTTTTTTTGTTTTTTTTTTTGTTTGTTTTTTTCCCCGAGACAGGGTTTCTCTGTGTAGCTTTGGAGCCTATCCTGGCACTCGCTCTGGAGACCAGGCTGGCCTCAAACTCACAGAGATCTGTCTGCCTCTGCCTCCCAAGTGCTGGGATTAAAGGCGTTCGCCACCAACGTCTGGCCAAAAGCAAGGTTTTTACATGATTAAGCTTAAAGATAAAGACAAAACTAATTTTAATGTCATTTTTAGTTTTAATTTTTATTAAGAGACTAAAATGTGAGAGCAAATTGGTTTTTGCATTTCTTTTTGTCTTTTTTTTTTTTTTTTTTTTTTTTTTTTTTTTTTTTTTTTTGTGACAGATTCTCTGTGTAGCCCTGGCCATCCTAGTACTTGTTTTGTAGATCAAGATGGCTTGGAACTCAGAGAGCCACTCGCCTCTGCCTCCCAAATCCTGAGATTAAAGGAGTTAACCACCACTGCGTGGCATTTGCTTTCAATATTGGAAGCACAGGCACTTCTACTCCTTTTTATTTTCTTTTTTTCTTTTTTTGAGACAGGGTAGTCTGGAACTTGCTAAATAAACCAGGCTGGCCTCAAACACAGAGATTTGTCTACCTCTGAAATTAAAGGCGTGTGCTACCATGCTCAGCCCTAAACTTAAAAAAAAATTACATCTATCCATCCATCTATCTATCTATCTATCTGTTATCAATCTCTCTCATGTGTTTTGTGTGTGTGTATACAGTGTATGTAGTGTGTGTGTGTGTGTGTGTGTGTGTGTGTGTGTGTGTGTGTGTCTAACCCATGGTGTTTATGGAGTTCATAGGACAACTTGGTGAGCCAGCGCCCTCTTGCCCTCTGTGGATCCCTGCCCTCAGGCATGGCTGCAGATACCTTTACATATCTCACTGATCTACTTCTAAACCTTTTGGTTTAAAAGAAAGCATGGCAGATTTGCACAACTCAAACAACAAAGAAGTAAAAATAAAGCTCATTGCAGTGCAATATTGTTAGTGAAGACAGATACAAAAGACTACAACCTGGTGGTGTGGGGAAGCCAATGTCTGTAATCTCAGCATTTATAAAGCTAAGGTCAAAGGGTTTTGCTGAGTTCAAGAGCTACAGAGTGAGACTCTGCCTCAAAAAACAAAAAAACAAAAAACAAAAACAGCAACAACAAAAAAAAACAAGCCACCACCACCAACAAACAAAAACAAAAACAAAACCTACTGGGAGAAAGTACTACAATCTGTGGAATAACTCTGTCTTTGTAGAGTCCAAAACAGGCATCCCATGAGCAAGTGGTGAGGAGACAGATGGGTGCTCATCTGAGCTGGGGTGACCCTGCCTGGGAAGGGTCATGGGAAGCCTTCTGGAATCCCATGAATGTTCTGATCTTCAATCTGTCTATTCCCTTTAGCCACACATCAGACAAATGTATTTGACTCTGTATGATGTACATCAGTTAAAACAGAAGTCCTTGCTTTAGACTCGCTAGCTGGCTCTCTTAGTGCTCAACTGGGGCCATCAATGTCTGAATCTAAGTTCTGGGAGGGAGTTGGCAGTTTTTGAAGCATTCTCCCAATAGAAGTGGCAGGAAGGGTTCGCATCAGGGAAGACTCTGTGGGGAAGGATTCAGTTTCCAGGTAACCGAAGGAGGAATATTGCAGAGGATCTTCTCAACATTGTTCTGCCAGAAGCGCTGCCCCTTAACACTGCACAACCCAGATAACATTGCATAACCCAGAGCTTCCCGACCAATGGGCCTTCATAGACCGGGAGTTTTGGGGACCAGGTTTCAAGTATGTCAAAACACAGGGCACCATCTCCTCCCCAGAGGTTTGTTCACACATAGGCTGCATCTGACAGTGGTTTCAGAACATTCTGCAAATGGTAGGAAGCCCCGCATGACTGACTCACTGTTCTCTCTCTTCCTGCCTTCCTCCCTCTGTTTCCCCCAACCCTGCCTCCTGAATAGAACACCAGCCAAATGCATTGTGTCCTATTTCTGGGTGGGGATGGAAGTGAGTCTCAGCTTCTTCAATGTCAATGTTCTGTCTTAAATGCAGCTTTTGCCTTCCTCTTAAATATATTCATCTTAGCTGGGTGTGTTGGCACACACCTTTAATCCCAGCACTGGGGAGGCTGAGGCAGGTGGATCTCTGTGAATTCTAGGCCAGCCTGATCTATACAGAGTGAGTTCCAGGTCAGCTAGGGCTGAAAAGTGAGATCTCATCTCTAAAACAAACAAACAAACAAACAAACAAACAAACAACCCCCACCAAACACAGTCTCTTAAACAAAAAACATTCATCTTGACTGGTTATGGTGGTTCACACCTATAGTCTCAGTTGCTTGGGAGGCTGAGGCAGGAGGATTGTAAAGGTGAGGTCAGCCTGGGTGGCTTACTGATACCCTTTCTCAGAGTGAAACGCAACACCTCCCACCCCCAAGAAACCCCAAAAGGCTGGAGACTAGCTTAGTTGTATTGTAGAGCTCGTGCCACTCCTTGGTGAGGCCGAGGATTAGTTTAGCTGTTGAGTGCTTGCCACTTGTTGGTGAGGTCCTAGATTTGACCCCTGCGCCACAAAACAGAAACAAATGCATTCATTGTATGTAAAAACTAACATGCTTGCTCACCCATTTCCTTTCTTTAAAAAGAAAACAAACATCATTTTATTTTTTCCCTTTTCTTAACATTCCAGGAGGGTTTATCCTACAAACGTGTGCCCTTGTGACCTCTATCCTTCCTGGCACAGAAGTGAATGTCCTAAAGGTACTTATGAGGCTGCAGGATTCCCTGAGAATGCCTTACCCGCCCCGACATGTGATCTTACATTATTCCTTTTAGCTAGATATGGCGATGATATTAATGTGTATGTGAGGAGCACACACACACACACACACACACACACACACACACACACTCACCATACTGCATTTCTGGGACTTTGGTCTACACGTCATATTTCTCATTAAGCTGTCCAAAGGAGGGCCCAGGGCCATCTGTGAAGTGGAGGGCAGGTGTGCATGGTCATTGCTATTCTGTCTATCATGTATGTCCTATCAAAATGAGTATCAACCTCTTTTTAGGGGCTGCTAGAGACATCAGCTGTGGTGACTTGAATGAAAATGTCCTCCATTAAAAAAAAAAGAAAGAAAAAAAAGAAAATGTCCTCCATAGGTTCATACATTTGAATACCTAGTCCCCAGATGGTGAACCTGTTTGGGAAGGACTGAGAGGTGTGGCTTTGTTGGAGGTGTGTCTCAGAGGGTGGGCATTGACAGCATTCCCAATTAGTGCTCTCTTTTGGCCTCCTACTTGAGGACAAGGATGTAGGTTCCTAGCTACTGCTCCAGCGCCATGCCTTCCTGCTGCCTTGCTCTCTGTGATGAAGGTCATGGACTCTAATTCTAATTAAAAAAACATTAATGAGTTGCCTTAGTCGTCATGGCATTAGAAAGGTAACTAAGACATCGGCCTCTCTACTCTTGCCCTTTATGGTCCATGTCCCAAAATGAAGTCAGAGAAGTCCTTTTAAAATACAGACCAGACGACAGACTCTAATGACCCCTATGGAAGGCCTCACCCTCCCTGGGGAGCAGAAAGGGTATGAGATAGGTAAGGTTTTAGTTGGGGGGATGGTAGGGGAGGAGTGGAAGGAGAGGAAACTGGGATTGGGATTGACATGTAAAACAATCTTGTCTCTAATTCAAATAAAAAATATAAAAAATAAAATGCAGATCAGATCTTGACTCCCTTTTAAAATTTACAACGAATGAACTGAAATAAGAATCCTGCATACTGGGTAAGGTCACACACTCTGATTTTGGAGATGGTTCAGTAGATAATGGCACTGTGGCCACACTGGTGACCTGACTTCAGTCTCTAAAACTCATACAGTGGAAGGAGAAAACTGTTACCCTGTAAGTAACATGCCTGCCTCCTATAGCCTCCTAGTTGCACTGGGGCTATTACCTTCTTGCATGTATGTTTGTGCATGGGTGTGTGTTTACATGTGTGGGTGTGTGCATGCTATAGTAAGTATGTGGAGATCAGAGGGGCAACTGGGAGGAGTCAGGTCTCTCCTTCTATATCATGTAGGTCCTGGACAGCTGAACTCAGGCAGGCTTCACTTTTTTTTTTTTTTTTAAACTTTGAGCCAGCTTGCTGGCCCCGGGTCACCCTTTCTTGTAGGTTCTTCCCTGGTTCACAATATCCTGTTGGGTATACTCTGAATATTTTTCTTACTTTTGAAAGTGTGTGTGTGTGTGTGTGTGTGTGTGTGTGTCTGTCTGTCTGTCTGTCTGTCTGTCTGTCTGTCTGTCTTGGTACTGTCACTGCCTAACTGCTTAGTACTTATACTTAACTGCTTGCATTATACCTTTCAACCTCATCGCCCCTCCTGCACTTCTCCTGCTTGAAGTAACCTGAAAGGAAGAGAATTCATAGACAATCAGAAGGGAGCTTTAAGATTTGGCACAAAAAGCAGGGTAGGAGAAGGAGACTATACTCTGGGGATGATCCTCCTGCCCTCTATGGTGAGTGAGTGTGTGTGTGTGTGTGTGTGTGTGTGTGTGTGTGTGTGTGTGTGTGTGTTCATCTCCAGGGGAATGTTCAAAACAGAGAAGGCTAAGGGTGTGTGGCAGGACACTGCAGAGGAATTCCACAGATTTTACAATGTTTGTGTCATGCTCTGCCAAGGTAGGTGATGTCTCAATAAGCCCTCCCCTATGCCTCTGTTTCTGAGCATTTTCTCCAGTGTGATTTGTGAGCTACTAAGTCTGGTTTTGTAGTTCTAAGTTCTCTGTAGTGAATTGATTTCTGACAATATTTGGGATGAGGACAGAAGCAAGACAGAAAAATATGCATTGTTTCAAACATTCACAACAAAGAATCTAATTCAGTCCTGATTCTTCTCACTGGCTTCTCACAGTGACACACACTGGTCAGTTTCCCCTCTGCAGTGTCCCTGGGCAACTCCAGGGAAAGTTCTGGTGACCCACTGGTGTCTAGATCCCGGAGACTGAGATGGATGAGTAGAGATTCGGCAATGATTGCATCAAACAATGTTTGAAGAGCCATTCCAGAGCTGCAGAAGGAGGGAGAACCTTCCTGGGGCACTAAGAACTAGGGCCACACATGCCTCTAGCTAAGCAACTGTTGAAACTCATTTTATGTTCATCAGGCCCTTCCCCGTGGCAGGAATGCCTGAGAGACACTGAAAAGAATAGGTTTGCTTTTCTTAAGGCAGTTTGTCACTAATCAAAACTTGAAATGTCTCCAACTTAGATGCTGCAAAGAGGAGGGGGAGAAGGAGAGGAGAGGAGAGGGAAACAGTGTGAAGCACAAAACCAGTTTCCAAATAGGTGATCCGTTTGGAACGTGTGACACTTCCCGTAATGCATGCCAGGAAGGGAGGCACCAGAAAACGAACTCTGCGGTCGCCTCGGTACTGGGCATCCCATCTGCACTGTAATCACTCACGTCTCACAGAGGCAGAGTGGCTTTCATAACCCCTTTAGGGAGCGACTTCCGTCAGCCCACCCGATTTCCCCAAATCACAGAGCTATTAAGTAGAAGCAGACCTTAAACCTTGGTGTATAAGATTCTTAAGGCCTCTTTCTTCTCATGAAACTTTGCTATTTCCAAACAAGACCAAACTGGAAGAAGTTTCCAGTAGCTGAAAAACCCTGAGTATTTGTTGAGCACCTGCTGTGTGCCAGTCATCTCTGCCAGAAGCTGTGTTTGAGGCATGCCTTGGGCTTGGCTCTAGTTAAAACCATCTTCTGGAATGTGACTCCTGGACACACTATGTTCCATCCAGCCATCTGTCACACAGGGTAGGTGCTAGAAGGCTGGTTTAAGAACACGGTGGTCTCACGACATCGTGTCTGATTTCTCCTTCACTCTTGGCTCCAACCTGGTCAAGCTTAAGGCCCATAGCAATTCCAATTCCCACCTTCTGATGCATTCTCTCCAATCTGCCCACTCTTTCTTTTTTATTTCTTTGAACACTAATCTCTCTTAAACTCATTGTTGGGGAAGTCTTTGTTTATGTGATAGATAAGGCTGGTTATGTACAACATTGTAACTCAATGACAAAGATTAGAGGAAGACAAAGAAAAAAATGGGTCCATACCTCTAATTTCTTTTCTGCACAAATGATAAAAACAGGCAGAAATACACTAACTATGTACATTGTACTTACTGCCACAAAGTGGGATAGTATATTAAATGTGGATATTAACTATGGGATGTTACCCTGATCTTCCTGACTGGGCTACTGTAGCTCACTATTCTTGGAAATTCCTACTGCCCTCCCCCCCCCACGGTGTTTCTGTTCATAATGGTTCTTATACAACAGCAAACATTACGTTACAATTCTACACTGGCCAAGGGTTTCCATTTGCTCTTAAGGATAGTAAAGCTTTTCTTTAAAAAATTTAAAATTACACCTTATTTATTTCTATGTGTGTTTGCTCTATGTGTGTGGGCACACGTGTGCCACGTGATTGCCTCTGCATCTGTGTGGAGGGTGGAGCTCAACTTGAGGAGTTTGGGTTTACTTCTATGGTGGGTCCTGTGGACTGAACTCAGGTTGTCAGGCTTGGCTGCAACTTCCTTTACCTGCTGAGTCATTTTACTGGCTAAGTCTTTTAAATTATACCCATCCTTATAGACATAGAACTTGAAAGGCAAAAATATTTTCAGCAGTTTTGACACAAATCCAGATTATTTACATATGAATGTATTACTAATGTAAAACTCACCTTTAGGTGTCTCCCAGCATACAAAAGAGTCAACTAAAGACAAGCCTTGCTTATAATAAAATGTAGTTAATTCTAGCCAGTTGGCGTCAAGTGTGTTGATGACAGCTCCTTTCCTTGTCACTTTCATGGACAGGATACCTTCCTGATAGGTCCAGCAGGCTGAATCTTCACCAAAAGCATTGAAGACCATGTACAGCTTGTGATCTGAGGATAGGCATTCAGGAAAAAGGGGAGAGGCAATTATAATCTCACTAATAAAAAATTCTTAAATAATTTGTTCTTCACGAGACACTCTACACAAATAAATACAGAAAATAATAAAAGTACCCACCACTCAATTAAAAAAATTATATGTATATATCTGTGTACATGTTCGTATTGTGTGTTTGGGTGCATGTACACCTGTGTGTGTGCACACATGTAGAGAGACCAGAGGTTGATGTTGGGTGACTCTCCCAGTCCTTCTCTAGCTTAGGTTTTGAGTTAGGGTCTCTAACTGAACGAAGAGCTCATGATCTGGCCATCTTGTCTACCTGTCTAGCACTAGGGTTACAAGCATGAACTCACATCTGCATCAAACTCAAGACTTGATGTTTGTGGGACAAGTGCTGTACCTAAGCTACCTTTACACCCTCCCCACCCCCAGCTCAGTTTAATCAAATGTTAACATTGTGCCACATTAGCTTTGAATTATTTCTTCACAGAAATAAGACAATGGACACAATGGAGGCTACTATGTACTACAATGTACTATGTACCTAGCAGTATATAGTCCCCAAATCCATTCTCTAAATATAACTGCTAGAATGAATTTGGTATTTATTGTTCTCATGAAAGTTTTTAGTTTTTAAGTACACAGTTGTATACCATATAAATAGTTTACTGTCTAAAGAATGCTTTAACAGGGGTTGAAGATTTAGCTCAGTGGAGAGAACTTGCCTAGCAAGTGCACAGTCTTGGGTTTGGTCCTCAGCTCCAAAAACAAAAACAAAACAAAAAATAAACCCAACAACAAAAACAATAAAAAAAGTCAACACAGCTTTAACAGTATAGTTCCATATTAATCTGGTTCTTTCTCTAGGAGATCCTGTTCAAAGGGATCTCTGCCATGCATGGATGCTGAGCTCGTCTTAGACTCAGGACTCCACTGCGCCCTTCAGGGCCAGTGATGATCAAAGGTTTGGAGCAACTACTAACTTGCTAGAGCTTCTTATGTGCTAGGCACTGGGCTGTTTCCCCTTTATAGCCCCGTGAGAGAGGCTCTGCAATTGTCCCCTTCATACAAAGACATTGAGGCATTTGTCTCCAGAGGCCATGTTTACTCCACGGTATAAGGGTCTTTAATTTTCTTTGAAGTAGCTTTTTGAAAAAACATTCCTGCAAAGATGTCAGGAAACTTTACACAGTCAAAAATAAAAGAGAAGAATACTCTCAGTTTCTTGGGAAAACTTGAGACTTGGCAGAGAAGGACAAAACTATTGTCTACAGTTATTTCTGGCTGTGGGCACTATTGTTAAAATAACTGAATCATCATGATGCTCCATTGTCATAGTCTAGCCATGATCAAAGGATGCCCATTGATTTCAAAGGTGAAGAGCATGCATGAAATGGGAAAGGCCTGTCCTGAGGTTCTCACACAGTTTACCAGACAGCTGTAAACCAAGCTACTTTCTCAGTCAACTCTCTCTCTCTCTCTCTCTCTCTCTCTCTCTCTCTCTCTCTCCCAAGACAGGGTTTCTCTGTGTAACAGCCCTGGCTGTCCTGGAACTTGATTTGTAGACTAGTCTAGCCTTGAATGCACAGAGATCTGCCTGCCTCTGCCTCCTAAGTACTGGCACTAAAGACGTGCGCCACCACCGCCTGGCTGTCGATTTGTAGCACACATACAGCCTTTCGTTTTAGAGGAGGCCTAAGTGGCTGCATTATGTGGACGGCTTGCAGGGTCAGTAGGAGAACTAATGTCTGAAACATTGCCTTGCCTTATTACTGGCTACAATTACTTAAAAACAACCCCACAAGATTAGATTAGTTCACTGTCCTTATAACCTGCAGAAATTAACATTGTCTTATATGTCTTTAAAATAAAGATACAGTTTGGAGAGCAGAGTACATTCTCTTTCCATCCATGCTGTTACCTCCTCCCCGATCTGGTTTAGAGTAGCTGGGGCTGCTGTTTCCTTCTGTCTGATGTCCACTTTCGAGCTGTGGTTCCTCCTCCATTCCACTTTCACACAACTGTCCACTGATGTCTCCTTCATTCCCACTTTTGCAGTTGTCATGGGAACCGTGTCTCCTGTGTAGTCCCAGTTCTGCGTCTCCATCATGGCTGGTTCCATTACAGTGTTTGGATGGCAAGTAATATTGTGATACAAATCCAACAAATTTCATCCCTCTTTTAGCAGCAGCATTAATCTGAGGTTTAAAGAGATGGCAGGACCGAGGTAAACCCCATGTATGACTCAGTCAACTAACCTTAGTCCTAAGGAGGCCATTAGAAGATAGAATAAACTGACCAGTAACCAAGCCACACTTATAAGCCAGGGAAACCGCTAAAGTACACCACCCCCAAGATCATGTGTCAGGATCAGCATGGCATGTCAAACATAACTAATGCTTCAGAGATTATAAAGAGAGAACCATATTTTCCTCTGAAATTTCATTTGGCAAGAACTAGTAAATTTTATAGCATGATTTTTAGATATGGTTAACAGTAATCTTTCCAGCAGAATCAAAGTAAAGACTGTTCCGAACACTCCCCAAAATAACTGAAGCAAACACAACCTCACTATTAAAGGAGATGTTAATTTAAAAACAAAAAGCACACAGCTCTATTTGGTGTTGATTAGGATAGATGTTAAGAGGCCAGCTCTTATAAATATGCACATATGAAACATGAGCACAGTTCATGGCTCAGTTGTAAGGAAGCTTTCTAATCTGCTTTCTAATCTGCTGCCTCAGACCTGGGTCAAACACACAGAATCCGATTTGATCTGGTCAGTTAGCACATAGGCTCCGAAGCAGATGACATGAAGCCAGCGAAATAATTTGGGATCTTAGCAGTGGTGATTTTCATGTTTGGTACTGTTTCCATTCAAATACTCATGAGACTGTTATCTTATTTCCTCTAAGCACACAGTGCCCAAGATCTAAGGGTTTTCTTCTCAGCTCTGTGTGAATGTTCTTTTTTCTTTTTAAATTTATTTATTTTACATACCAACCACAGTTTCCCTTCCCTCCTCTTCTCCTGTTCCCATCCCCCACCTCGCTTCTAACTGCCCCCCCATCCACTCCTCCTCCATCTCCATTCAGAGGGGGTAAGGCCTCTCATGGGAGTCAACAAAGCATGGCATATCAAGTTGAGGCAGGACCAAACTTTCCCCCACCCCCATCAAGGCTGGACAAGTCATCCCACTACCAGAAATAGGTTCCAAAGAGCCAGCTCATGTGTCAGGGACAGATCCTGGCCCCACTGCTAGGGGCCCCACAAAAGACCAAACTACACAACTGTCACCTACATGCAGAGGGCCTAGGTGGGTCCCATGCAGGCTCCCTAGCTGTTGGTCCAGAGTCTGTGAGCTCCCACAAGCTTGGGTCTGCTCTCTCTGTGGGTTTCCCAGTCATGATCTTGAGCCTCCTGCCCCCCTTGCTCATATAATCCCTCCTCCCTCTCTCCAACTGGACTCTCGGAGCTTGGCCCAGTGCTTGGCTGTGGATCTCTGACATCTGCTTCCATCAGTTACTGGATGAAGGCTCTGTGATGACAATTAGGGTAGTGTGACTGTTCTTTTTGTGACCGTGTTCTTCTGTGTTCTGCTGGCAATACTTCCCAGGGAAAATGCTGTGTCTTATCTGTCTTTTTATTGCATCATTTGATAGGTGTATTGTAAGCATCCACTAAATAAACGCAGAAGTAGAAAGGTTTTCTTATTTTTTTGACAGTCTCACTGTGTAGCCCTGGCTGTCCTGGAACTCACTCTGTAGACCAGGCTGGCCTCAAACTCAGAGATCCTCCTCTGCCTCCCGAGTGCTGGCATTAAAGGTGTGTGCCACCAATGCCTGGCTCAGCACTGTCGGTTTTTTCATGGTCACTGTTTTAAACATCTAAAGTGAACATTTTAAGTGTTACCCGGGAGAGAGTTATGATGGAAGTTGAAGATAGAAACACTGACATGGGATTTTCAAAGGCAGGAAGAACTGGAGAAAAAGAAGAGCAATGCAACCAAGGGGGCCACTTTTGGCTGGCTGGGAGGCTGGTGGAGCCAGAACTCTGGACGGTGGCTGGCTCAGCCTCACTCCTTCCTCTAAGAGTTACAGTCTGAGATTTAACACTGTGTGGAGATTTGGACATAGCCACATAGTTTTGACCTCCTAGGTGTCCTGGGAGAAAAGAGGAGGGTATGAGGGGAATTCCCATTCTTCCAGTAGAAAGGGGGTAAACTTCTTGTCAGTGTCCTTTCTATGTATTTGATTTGATGGAGATGTTCAGGAAAACTTCTCTCTTGTACTACAGCAGATATTTCTTTTTTCTTCTGGAAAAGTCTAGGAACAAATATATTGATGTCTTTTTCATTTTAACTTGGAGGATGAATAATTTTAAGTACATTTATTTATTTGCGTGTGTACACGAACACACGTGTGTCATGGTATGATGCACATGTAGTGGTAGGGGACAATTTGTAGGAGGTAGTGCTTTTCTACCACGTGAGTTCTAGGGTTTGAACTCGGTTCCTGTCAGCTTTGGCAGCCATACCTTTACTTATTGGGCTGTCTTGCCAGCCTTAGAGGACTGATTTTTAAATGTGGCATTTTAAAACCCTGAGAGAAGAAAATGCAAACTGAACATTAAAAATAGAGCAGACAAGGGTGGGGATCTAGCTCAGAGTAGAATGCCTGCATGCAGGCAGCCCCGTGTTCAATCCTCAATACCACATGCAAGGACACAAACTAAAAAAAGACTGGACATTAATAGACAGTTAAAGCTAGCTGTCCAACAATCAAGTCTTCACACAAAGTGGCTGTTCAGAAATACTTGGCATTCGCCAGTTGCTCTTGCTCATGCCCCGGGGAATGTTGGGATATTTCGCCTGTATGTTCCCTGAAGCTTTTCACTTAGAGAAGAATCCAGGACTCTAATTGCTCAAACAACTGTGCTTTCCTGTTTAAGTCTTTTAACTGTGTCCAGGGCGTCAGATTCAAAATAAAGTCCTCTGGTGGTCATCTAGCAAGACTCAGTAGCTATATTTTTGTTTTCAAAAGAAGCTGTCTGGAGTGGATTTATTTCCAGAAAAAGAAATACCTAGAATAGCAGCGGTAAACAGTATGCGTATTTGCAAAACCTGGTCTCCAGGTTTCCCACCGTGGAGTTGAATGGCAACTTTGTACCTTAGTGGAAACATCATTAGCAGTTGTTAGTGGAGAGACACAAACCACAGACATGGATTCACCACAAGCAGTTACTTACAGTTCACCATTCCTTTTCTCCTTATTTGTAACACAGGCTGCTCTGGAACCCAGGGTCTCCCTGCCTCAGGCGCCTGCACACTGGGATTACAGGTATAAACCACCACACCGTGCTCAAGGATTGTAACTGTGAGTCAGCACTCCTCAGTCCACTCTCAATTTCTATGCAAGAGGAAGTGCCTTGGGTTCTTGAGTCTGTATATTTAAATTAAACAAAGGCTAGCTGGATGTGGTGCTGTTCAATTTAATCCTAGCACTCTCGAGGTAGAGCTAGACTGATCTCTGTAAATTCAAGGTTCTAGGGCAGCCAAGGAAGGCTACATAGTGGAAGTCCATTTCAAAACAAAACCAACTCCTGCTCAAAAAACAACAGCAAACAAACAAACAAACAAACTACTTAGGAGTTCTACTAAGAACTCCTAAGTAGGCCTAAAACAACTTTCACCAAAAATCCCATCAATTAAGGATATTTGTGGATATATGTTTTTTCTTGGTTTAGTCAATCTACATTTAGTGTACGTTACATTAATTGTAAATTTTCCCTTGATCTCTTTTCAAGTTAATTTTTCTTAAAAAAGACATAATTTGTTTTTATGCCAACTCCTCCATTCGCAACTGAATACGTTTATTTTTTGTTTTCTTTTAGTTTTTTTTCATATTTAAAACCCACCTCTTTGTCTCATCTGAGACTTCTGAAATCTATTTTCCATGGGACAATTGCCTACTTCCCTTAGTATTGACTAAGTTACAGTTATTCTCCCATCTAGTCTTGTCATGTTTGTTATTAAATTTCTTTTCTTTCTTTCTTTCTTTCTTTCTTTTTTTTTTTTTTCCCGTTTCTTTAGGACAGGGTTTCTTTGTGTAGCTCTGTAGACCAGGCTGGCCTCAAACTCAGAGATCACCGGCCTCTGCCTCCCAAGTTCTAGGATTAAAGGTGTGCATCACTACTGCCCAGCTGTTAGTAAACTTCTTACATGCAGTTGAATTTACTTCACTAGCTCTATTCTGTTTTATAGGCCTTTATTTACCATTTTGTGATGGCTAATCTTGTCTGTCTGCTTGACTGGATATGGAGTCAATTGACCGGCAAGCTGATGGACATATCTGTGAGGAATTTTCTTGCTCAGTTCGACCGCAGTGGGAAGGCCCACCTTCAATATGGGTGGTACTTCCGGTGGCTTCCCAGATAGAAGAAAATGGAGACAAAATGATTTTGCTTTTTGCTTGCTTGCCTTCATGTGCTGCTAAATTGATTTACTCTGGAGGCAACAGGCTGCTGCTGCTTCTGGCTGACATTAAAACCCAGTCCTTCAGCCTTCCAAAATGGACTGAAGAACCGCTGCTCTCCAGGGTCCCCTGACTGGGACTGCTAAGACCTTTGATCCTGTGGAAGAGCAGCTACTGGGGTTTCAGCCTCAGTATAAACGTAGCCGTTGCTGTCCTGCTGTGTAAATCAACCTGGCAAACCCCTTCACTCATCCTTTCTATTCTTCCTCCAGAGACCCTTGACTAGTGGAGTTTTAGACTCTGTACAGTTTGGTTCCCATGCTTTAAGTTTTGAGTTCTGAAGAATAAGTCATCGCCACTTCCCTAATCTTTTGGGTCCTACACTGTAGCTTAGGCTGCCTGGAACTCACTATGTAGTTCAGGCTGGTTTCGAACTTGTTATGTAGTGAAGGATAACCTTGCACTTGTGGTCCTCCCCTCGCCCAGTGCCAGGATTACAGGCTGGGCCACCATGCCTGGGATCTGTATGGTTTTCAGGTAAAAAAGGAAATTGTTTCTTAGTGTGCCACGAGGAATGCACACCCAGTACCTTTTCTATGAGTTCTTTTGCTGCGTCGTTTGTTTGTGTCTCGTAAGTTAGAGGACACTCCTCCATCACAAGTCTTGCATGCCTTTGTCCAACTGGTACTGCTGAATGCTTGGGGCTGCAATGAGAACACAGTCATGGTCAGGGTCAGAGGCAAGTTACTGCTTTCCATTTATGTCCAGGGGAAAATCACGATCAACTCAGAAGTAAGATTAAAGCTCTCACTTTGTTATTTCAACCCCAATGGCTCACTAAAACCAAATGCCACAGACACACAGTGATTTCTAATTTAAAGTGTATGAAAGAGACTTTGTTATTGAACAGAGCATAAGTAGAAAAACAACACTATTTAAATGCAGATAAATATGCCTGTTTCTCTCCCCCCTTTTCTTTACTGGCCTCTAACTTCTGCCAAGTTTCAGCACTTCTGAGTCTATTTAACACTAAAAGCAGGAAAGGCAGTGGTTATACACAGTTGATGGGATTTGTAATCAGGACATAAGCATGAGTAAGAAATGTCAAATGTGCTTAGTAATGCTTGATCTGAAAACATTTGTATTCTAGCAAAACCTGAAGTCCATACACACACACCTGTGTGTGTGTGTGTGTGTGTGTGTGTGTGTGTGTGTGTGTGTGTGTGTGTGCATGCCCACTGGTACCTATTGAATAGCAGTCACTGTCTTTAAAAACAAGATAGGGGCAGGGGACCATGGCTCAGTGGTGCAGTGTTTGCCTAGAATGTGCAAAATCCTGGATTTGATCCTTAGCAGTGAAAAGACACCAAACTTTCTTCTTTTATGTTTAAAGAACTTAGGTAAGTTCTTATGTATCTCAAGCAGGCCTCAAACTTGATATGGAGTAGAGAATGATCTTGATCTTTGGCCCTCCTGAATTCTGGGATTACAGGTATGTGACTCTGTATCTGGTTTATTTGGTACCAGAAAATGAGCCCAGGAAAGCCCACCTGCTAGGCAAGCGCTCTACCAGCTGAGCTCCACCCGCAACCCACCATCTGTAATTTTTTTTATTTACCATATTTTTTTTTTTTTGTAGATTCTCTGGGAATTTCACATCATGCACCCCAATCCCACTCATTTTTCAGTCCCTCTGTATCTGCCTTCCACCCTTGTAGCTTCTCCCATAAAAGAAAAGGAAAAAGTAAAATAACAACAACAACAAAAGCTCCACTTTGCTTCCCCGTCTTTCCTACCTCTCCACCTCGTCTTTATTCGTCTTAGTGGCACTGGGACCTGTGATATGACACACAATACCTTTTTACCTAAACAGCTTTACTTGCAGTGAGTTGTTGGTCAGGCTCTAGGCCTCTGGCTTCTGACGTACTATCAATACTGGACTTCTCTCTGCTATCCTGCTGTTGCCCAGTTCATGGAGATCCTCGGCTATGGTTCCACAGGACTGGTCCCTTCGTCGGCTCCAGCAGGTTGTAGATGGGGTTGATATGGGGTGGGCCTGGGTGGTAGCTGAGTTGGTCAGCCTGGGCCTCCACAGGAACACCCCACCCCCTTCAGGTGAGGAACAGAGCCAACTTTCTTGCCGCAGGGGCTGGCAAGGGGCAGGGCCAGACCATCTGGAAACTTTAAAGACCAGTTCTCTCTCTTCTTCCTTCCCTTTCCAATTTGCCTATCTTATCACCTTTTCCCTCCTTATTATGATTTTCTTTAGCTTTTACATTGATGGCTGTTGATTCACCTCTATAAAGAGGAAACACAATTTTTGAGATTGAAAAAAAATCATTGCGTGTATGTACGTGTGAGTGTTGATTTTGTGTGTGTGTGTGTGTGTGTGTGTGTGTGTGTGTGTGTGTGTATGTAGAGGGGGCAATACTCCACAGTGTGCACGTAGGTCAGAGTGCATCTCTGTGGAGCTGGCTCTCTCCTTCTACCTTTATGTGTATTCTGGGACCAGGCTCACACAGCAAGTACCTTTACCCACTGTCCCTCTGCCCAGTCATAAGACAGTTTCCATATAGATGAAGAGTTGTACAAAATTTTTTATATGTTAATTTCAGGCAATATTGTGCTCATTTGCTTTCTTCACTGGAGAGAGTCAAAGTAGTCAAGGTGGTTTGAATGAGAATGACCCTCATAGGCACTCACTAGTCCACAGTTGACCTACTGGGAAGGATTAAGGGATGTGGCCTTGCTGCAATAGGTGTGGCTTTGTTGGAGTAGGTGTGTCACCTCAAGCCCAGCCTAGGCAAAGTGTTTCCTTTTCTACCTTCTGCCTGCAGATCAAGACGTAACTCTCAGCTGTTACTGCCTCAGACCCATGACTGTATGCATTCCACCATGATAATGGACTCACCCTCTAAAATTGTAAGCAAACCCTCAATTAAATGGTTTCTAAGTTGCCTTGGTCACTGTCCTGTCACAGCAACAGAACAGTGAAGAAGACAATTGACTTCTTGTGGTGCTAAGGCTCAAACCCCCTCGCACAAGTGTTGTGCCTCTGACCTATGTATTCGTCCCCAAAGGGAAGACCTTAAGACCCTACTAGGTATACATAGAAATGAAATTTGGCAAATCTACTTTGCATGTGGAAAGCTTAGGTTCAATCCCAAGGACCCCAGATCCCCATCACATTTAGGGAAAACGTTGCCAACATGTCTATCTAATTTTGAGACCTTGGTGAGGTGGTGCTGTTCTTTTTTTTTTTTTTAACTTAAATGAGAAACAAACTTTTTTTTACATCCCAGTTCCCTCTCCCTCCCATCCTCCTCTGTCCCCATCCTCCCCCAACTAATCCCCTACCCCATCCCCTTTCTGCTCCCCAGGGAGGGTGAGGTCTTCCATGGGGGATCTTCAAAGTCTGTCATATCATTTGGAGCAGGGTCTAGGTTCTCCCTCATGTGTCTAGGCTGAGACAGTTTCCCTCTATGTGGAGAGGGCTCCCAAAGTCCATTCTTGTACTAGGGATAAATACTGATCCACTACCAGAGGCCCCATAGATTAACCAGACCTCCAAACTGACACCCACATTCAGGGGGTCTGGATCAGTCCTATTCTGGTTTCCCAGCTATCAATCTGGGGTCCATAGCTCCCCCTTGTTTAGGTTTCAGCTGCTGTTCTTAATGAGAATGGAGGTAGCTGGAAGAGCTCAGAGAGAGTGGGCTGCATCGATTCCCTCGGTATGGTTAGGCTAATTGTTGTTCCTTATATTCTGGTGTTTTACAGGAGTTACCACACCCAGCTTTTTGGGGTGCTTCCTGGGTCCATTGCCTTCCTTTTGCTCACTGACATCTTCACTTAGTGCCTATTTATTCGGCCCCAAAGAGTAAAGACGGTGATCAGGAGGGCTTTTGCTGTTTTGGTTCTCTTCTTTTGAACTGGAATCTTCCTATGTAGGCCACACCAGTGTCAAAGTTGAGGTCCTCATGCCTCTCTCACCCTCCGCTTGCTGGGGTCACTCCCATCCTACATACACTACCACACTAGGCTTAATCAGGGGTTTTAAAGGGGTGAGTTTCCTTATTCCAATTCAATTTCAGCTGAGAAAATAGGCCTTGAATCAATCCCCCGAGTAGCCTTCATTCTCCTTCAGGCTTTCAAAATTTCTTCTCTTTTAAAGAAAAGCTGCCAGGTGGTGGTGGTGGTGGCTGCGGCGGCAGGGGTGGTGTATGCTCTTAATCCCAGCACTCAGGAGGCAGAGGCAGGTGGATTTCTATGAGTTCTAGGTCACTGCCCCCCTCCTCAAAAAAGAACCAAAAACCAACTAACCAGCCCCCCAAAACCAAAAAAACAAAACAAAACAAAAAACAAACAAAACAAAACAAACAAACAAAAGATTAAGGAAAATCCCTCTTAACGGCCTCTGGTGTGACTTTTCTCAAGCTTACCTTACTTTTAACCGAGACAGCACCACTCTATATAGGTGACTTGCTGGGAGGTGTTTTCGATGTCGCACAGGTTGTATAACTGGGTGAATGGCCCCAACAACATAGCCCTTGAGATAATACTCTTCCACTTTGGCAACTATATCCAGAACTGAATTTATCTTGATGACTTCTGGGTTTGTTGAAGCTGAAATACCAAAAATGAAGAGAAATTTTTATATCGGTAATATTGAATTCTACCTTATTCCTATCTATATTCAATGACATTAGTGAACAAGAGAGACAACCACGTGGCTTAATTTCGAGTAAGAAACACTAACATGTGTTATGTATTTTCTATTTCAGGTGAGATTAGATGTGTTCAGGGTGGGATAACTGTAGATGAAACCTATTTCGGACAATAGCAAAGGTGATTTAACCAACTGATTAAATAAAAGAATAATAAATAATTTATTATTAATAATAATTAAATAATAACTGATAGATAAATAATCTTGCCAACATATTCAAAAGCAGAACTAGAATGCCTTTTAAGTTCTTTTATTCAGTGGGAGAGCTTTTTACTGCTTTGGATTTTATTTAAGTGACTATATTGCCTTTAAAAGACATCAAAGACGTACATCAAAATAATAATTTTAAAAGCCAATAGTTTTTATGACTGAGCAAGATGAGATGCATAATTTCTTAAAATACAGTTTATAAGAGTTTAAAAACTAAAAAGGGGAGACATTGTATTTGCTAGACAGAAATTATAAAATTATAAAAAAAAGAAGAAAGAAAAAAGAAAAGAAAAAAACTAGCTGTAAATGAAATTTAAAAGCAAAACTTCCCTGCCCATCCTTCCAGAACGACACATCTACTGTAACTCTAAACTCCCGTGTCGGCTAGAATTAAAAAAGAAGGGGGGTGGGGGTATGCAATTGGAGAACACATTCTCAAAGTTATGGAAACATTAATTTGAATAGTTTCATTATCTGTAATATTTCTCATTTTATGGAGGACAATTAAGGATTATTATCCAGAAGTAGACCTGGAATTGATTATCTTTTGAATAAGAAAGCACATGAAATTAATTCCAGGTATGGGCTTGCCTGGACTCACATTCATATGGCCAGTGGAGTACAGCCCGGAGCTGTGCTGATGGCCTGAGCACAGGAAGCAGGTTAAGAAGCAGATGAGGAAGAAGGGTCAAGGGAAATCCCTGTCCCCTGACACCAACACTCATGTGATGGAACAATCCCACTGTCAGTGAACACTGGAGCCAGCTTCTCAAATGAAAATGAGGCACTCATCAGAAAGGTATGCAGGCCAGCACGAACCCATTTCCTTCCATTTCTATTCCCTTTTGGATTTAAACTAATATCCTACATCTATAATATTTTCTTCATGGTTATGAATAGAAATGAAAACAAGGAGGACAGTCCTGAAATCTGAAGAAACATCTGGTCTCCATGTAAACACCACAGCCCTGTCTGTGTGGCAACTGTTTCATCATTTGTTTGGCTTTACTCTTTTTAGCATTTGGTCTACAAACGCTGACTTTTTCAAACAAAGCAGCTGAAAAACTATACAATAATGTAGAACAGACTCTTAAGACCAAGGAACAAAATATAAACTTATCTTTAGAAGTGTGCTAAGTGTACATAGTTTTAAAGAAAATTAAAGTCATTTAATGGGTTACATGGCATGGGGCAGGAGAAGCTAGCAAGCCTCGCACTTGTGCATCTTTGACATGTGACAGCTTGGAGTTCTGAACCTGTCACTCTGTTTTACTCTACTAAACCTCCAGCCCCATCCCTGTCCCCACCCTGAGTGAACTTTTCCTCTGCTGGCCATTCTGCACTGTGTTATAGCTATTTGTTCATGTGCCTGTCCTGGATGTTCATCTGGGAACTTCTTAAGGGCAAGAGACTCCTATTGTAGTCACGTCTTTCTGCCTCACATGCTCCCTAGGTCACTAGGTTAAGCGGGATTTCTGTTAGGACAACAAAGAGGCAAAATTATTGTACAAAGATGGAAAGCCAATAACTACTAGTTAGGGGAAATAAAAAACAGTTAGGTTAGTACAGAAAAGCAAAGTGGGACAACCCTGGCAGTGCCAAGGAACTGCCTTTCATTGTCTTGGTCACAAAAGTAAGGGTTGTCAAGAGCACTTCAAGGAGCTGGCTCATGGCTCATCAGTTAAGAGCACTGGCTGCTTCTCCAGAGGACCGGGTTCACTTCTTAGCACCTATATGGCAGCTTACAACTGTCTGTAACTCCAGGTCCAGGGGATCTGATACCCTCACACACAGAGGCAAAACACCCATGCTCATAAACTAAAAATAAATTATTAATAAAAAGCAAAAAAGAACGTTGTGAGAATCCACAGCAGAAAGTCATGTTCTTTTCAGAAAGCTCTAGCATGAAGTCCCACACTATGTTAATGATATCACATAAGAAAAGCCAGGGGGGGGAGGGAGAGAGAGGAAGAGAGAGAGAGAGAGAGAGAGAGAGAGAGAGAGAGAGAGAGCGCTACATGTAGTTTAACTGACTTCATTTTTGGGGACAAAGTTTTTACCAAAATCAAAGAATCATTTATGGGCTGGAGAGACTTCTCAGCAGGACCTGGGTTTGGTTCCCAGCACCAACATGGTATCTGATGCCCCCTTCTGGCCTCCTCGGGCACTGCACAGTGTGGTACACAGGCATACAGGCCCACAAAACTCACAAATAAAATGCCATGTGTGAGCCGGGCGTTGATGGCATACGCCTTTAATCCCAGCACTCGGGAGGCAGAGGCAGAGGCAGGCGGATCTCTGTGAGTTCAAGGCCAACCTTGTCTCCAGAGTGAGTGACAGGATAGGCTTCAAAGCTACACAGAGAAACCCTGTCTCGAAAAACCAAAACCAAACTAAACCAAACCAAACAAAAAGCCATGCGTGGTGACATGTGACTGCAGTCCCAGCCCTGGAGAGGCTGCGTCAGGAAGATGGAGAGTTTGAAGTCAGCCTGGACCATACACTCTGAAGGATGATCTTGGTTGTCCTGGGAAGAGGAAACCTCAATTGAGGAATTGCCTGTATCAGACTGGCCTGTGACTATGTCTGGGGGCTTTTTCCTGATTGTTACCTAGTTGATGGAGGAAGACCCAGCCCACTGTGGGCAGCATCATCCCTTGGCAGGTGGCCAAGTCTGGTGGTCTGTTTAGGAGGGCTAGCAGAGACTGTGAGAGAGCCAGCCGGTGAGCATCTTTCCGCCATGGTTCTTCCTGCCTTGAGCTCCTGCTGTGACTGATCTCAGCGATGGACCCTGACTGAAGTGTAAGATGAAAGAAACCGTTTCTTCCAAGTTGTTTTTAGTCATGGTATTTGCTGCAGGATGACAAACTAGGACAGGGTTTGATAACAAGGAACAGTGTGACTTTTATCCAAATGCTTTACTGAGCTGGCCTTGATTTTCTGTCTGGCTTGGTAGTCATTATTAGTACATGTGAATGTACATGCATGTGTGTGTATGTGCATATGTGTGTATGTGTATCTTCAGGTGTGTGTGTGTGTGTGTGTGTGTGCATGTGTGTATGTGTGTGTGTGTAGATATGTTCACACGTGTGTGTGTAGACCAGGGGTCTTGTTGTCGATCTCCCCTTCAAATGCAAGAGTTTTGTGGAGAACTTTTTTCCATGTCATCCTCCTATTGAATGTTTGCAACTGCACTGAAGCTGGGAGGTATTAAAACCTCTCACTGCTGAGGATAGAACAGTACACACTTCAGCCACACTCAGAGTGGGTCATTACATATCCATGACAGGCTCAGTCTCTGAGGCCAAGCCTTTGATTTGATGTCCGTTCATCGGGCAGTAATATCAGAGGCTCTATTACCCTTTAAACACAGGAAATTAGCGGGGAGGTGGTGGTTGTTTTGGTGGAGTACAGGCACAGGCAGTGAGCAGCAGCTGTGGGCTTTCTTGCCAGCCTGAGTGCTGCACACACTCCTTGGGAGAAGGAACAATGTTTAAAGCCTTGGTGGATGTGGCTGGGAACTGTGACACTAATGCTACAAGTTCTGTAAAAGCTATACATCCTACAACACTATTGTGAGGAGTCTGGAAGAAAGCAATCTGGAACTGCTTTGAAAATTATACAAATGCTAAGTGAACTTACATTGCTGCAATTAAAACTTGTTGAGGGTTGAAAAAATTATTTCTTCTCAAAGCTCCTAAAATAAAATATCCATTGATACTTTTCATGCCCCTAAGCTAAAAAGCTTCAAGGACAAATCTTGAACCTTTAAACAAGTCATTTGACATGGAGGCTCATGCTTTCATTCCCTATATTTGGGAGGCTGAAACAGGAGGATTACCATGAGTTCTAAAGCAGCCTGTGTTACATAGTGAGTTTCAGGCCAGCACGAGGCCTCAAAAACAAAACAAAAACCAACTCCCCAAAAGTCCCCACATAAAATAAACAATACCCCCAAAACAAACAAACAAGAAACCCCACCCAAAACCCAAATTAGCAAAAAAGACACAAAAAGTCACATTCCACTATAAAGCTGAGAATTTGTTAAACACAAAATTTTGTTTTGACAACACAATTCTGTGAAAACAGCATAAAACATACATATTTATTTCCACCAATTTACCTCTGAAGATTGGTTTGTACTTATAAAATATATCTACAATTGTTTTCTTAAGTAAAAACAAACTGTGCAAACTCAGCCAGCAGCTTTACAGCAGTTTTAAAGGGGAATGGTCTGGAACCTGCATGTTCTCCCACAGTTTTAAAGGGGAGTGGTCTGTAACCTGCATGTTCTCCTGAAGTTTTAAAGGGGAATGGTCCAGGAACCTCATGTTCTCCCCAGCAACTGTAGAACAAGGTAATAAGCAATGAATTCCAACATGTGCCCAGTTCTATGTGAACAGACCACATCCAGTACTTAATTCCTACAGACTCTTCAAAGTGGGTTTTTATTGTCTGATAAGGAAATTCAAGGAGAGAAATTAGGGAATTGATCCAAATTGCTTGTAAATTCTGAGGCTGAGCTGGAACCCAGGCAAAAAGACCCCGAGAACTGGGACACTCAAATGCTCATGGGAAAGAAAACTTCATTGATTTGAACCATGTCTGTTGAAGGTTTATGAATTCAGGCATGAGGTCAGTTATACCACAGCTCTCAACCTTCCTAACAGTGACCCTTTAAGACAGT